AAAGTAAATTAAACGTCTTTTCAGACGAAAGTCGGGCTGTGTCTCAATTTGCTTGGCCCTACAAACTGAAAACTGGAATTGGAGGTGCCGATGCGAATCCATAAGATTCCAGCTGCCCTTGATGAGGTGATGCAGACATGGCCCGAGGAAAGGTTGAGAAAAGACTACGCGGAAGCTGTCTGAAAAAATAAAAATACAAAAACCCCAAAGCAATACGGCCAGAAAAACAAGCTGAAGAAGCAACAAGAGCTGAAAAAGAACACAACTTTCTACCTTTACTTTTTGGCAAAGCCCCCAAGGAATTTCCAACTCGTTTTTCGTTTTTTTACTCTTGGGACCCTTTTTTCAGAGGGGGCGCAAGTGAAATGCAAATGTTGTACGGGGGGCTTATCGGTAATCTATTGACTGAAAATTTGCAACAGATAAGGCGGGGCACTATTAAGCCATAAAACGCATGCAAATGAAGGCGTTGAAATGCGCATAAGGCCAAAAAGGAGTTTCGGGGCTGGTCACTTCATTTAGCCAAAAGTTAAAGGGCGCAAAAACTAACGCGTTTCGGAAAAGATAAAACCGGACAGTGGCGGGTAGTTTGGGGGGTCAGTCGGTGGCAGATGTCTGCCTCGGCGGGGGTAAAATTCAACTTCAACTTCAACGAGGCCAACGGCTGACTGGCAATTAATTATGCCCAAAGTCGCTCATTCTCACTCACTCGATCTGCCCTCTCCCTCTGCACTTCTCGCCCCCTCTCTTTCTGGTCGCGGGCATATGTTTATTTACTTAATTTACTTAATGACACACATCTAGAGAGGAGCACGAGTCACACAAAGACACCCAGAGAAAATATATTACCAAAGGTGGTCATTAACTCAGTGGTTTTTAATAGCTATGTTCCAAGAGTACTATTAAAAAAAATATTTTAACGCTCAAAAAAATATTTGTAAATACATTAAAGCCACAATTATGTTCTATAATATTGAATTATATTTAATTTTTAAATGGATTATTTCTTAAAATATTATTAACATTTTTAAAATCAATTTTAAGGGATTATGAAATATAAAATAGATTTATTAATATTAGTATTAACGAACAAAAAATATTTTACTTAGCAAATAATTTCTTAAAATGCCATACTCAATAGAATCTTTATAGATTCTGTATAACTTTCTATAGTTTTCTTGCTGTGCATGCACACACAATTTTTTTCTGGTGCGGTCATCCATGCAAAGAAGAGCAACCCATGTTTGTCTAATAAATAACATTATTAATTACCAGTGCAATTAAGCATAAGTACGATTGGGGCACCCTCGCCAACATAGATACAAACTCAAACATAGACAGAGGGAAAATAACAGACCGACTGCACTTGATGACCCAAATTTGAGTTCATTGAGTGATATATGAATGCATTAATCTTAGTTTATGTTTATTAGTTTGTTTATCAAATTTTATGCAAGCTGAAAAAAAACAGAAACTGTGGCTAAAAAACTGAAAGCTGATCCCGCCATGAAATGCATAAAAGATCAGAGCTGTGATCTTTCAACTGAAAATTTATGATCAACATAATACGATTTTATGTTGCTTTTATGGGATCAGTCGATATTTATGGTCGAGGGTATATTTTTTAAATGGAAAAAGCGTTTTTTTAGAAACTCTAAACTTTTGGATCTTTGATTGTATTTCTTATAACTTTTAAGCAGACTTCTGGCCATTAATCTTTGGTCGCTTGTTATTCGCTTAAATATGGCAACTGTCACGAGCAGGACAAATCAGGCAAATACTAACGAAAAAATGCTGAAAATTACAGAGCAGGGCAACTAGAGAGTTTTCCCTTCTAGTCAGTCTAGCCGTGTCACAGCGTTTAATCTTTATTAATTACAGTGAAATAATAAGTAGATCCCTCCGACGGGCACCCTTCCGTTTCTCCACCACTTTTCTCCGTTTCTCGGGTGTCTATTTCTCTATTTCTCTCCTTTCTCTGACAATGTCAGACGCACCACCGACTGATTAATGCCGGGGCTAAAAGAGCCGAACAAGCGAGCATGCCACAAGCAGTCAAACGAGAAACTTTCGGTCTGGTTTAGGAATTTTAGAAGTGCACTGGGAAAAATATCTTTAAAAAATTAATCAAATTCTGAATATAAGGATGCTATAGTATTAAAATTAATAAAAATATAAATACATAAAGATACATGTTTAAACGCCACTGATATTTTCATAAAGATACAATATAGTTGTTGTGTTACGGCAATTTTATAATATAAAAGATATTTCTGCCACCTAAATAACTTTCTTCTTCTCTCTCTAGTAGTTTTAAATATTTGAACAACTGAAATACATTTTTCCCAGTGCCCTGTGCTGAGGTTTCCCATGTTTTGTTGCGTTCTAGGGGGACCACATCCATCACGTTGTCTTTTCTCCGCATGGAGAGCAACTCCCCAATTTGTTTGGTGCCAAAAACCTACCAGCGGGTGGGAAAAGCATCGAAAAAACCCAGGGAAAGGCGGAGAAAGGCTAAGAGGGAGTGGAGAAAAAACCAAATTAGATAGCAGCGTGTGCAGAGCGACCATTTGATCCTTTTTTAAGGTCAGAACCGCGCCTCGCCTAATTACGCATCTAATCAGGAGAGGTGACCCCAAAACACGAGCTGCCAGTTAAGGAAACATCTGCCTAAATGGCAGTTAGTGAAAATTTTTGCGGCTTGTCAATCAGCCGAAAGCTGTTCAAATATTTAAACAAAACTCAGCCTCCGCTCAATAGGTATTTGCACTTCAACTTAGCTCAAACTGCGCATGCAAATGCAAATGCAACAAATTCAAATAAATTCCGCGGGGACAGGACAATTAAATATGCGCATAACTGTTGATAATCATCGAATCAATATGCTGACAATTTTCTCACGCATTCGCCAAGACTCGAAAGATACGCACAGAGATAGATATTCAAATGAGTTGCATCCCAAATACAGACAAGGACCCCAGGACAAGGGTTCATCATTATAATCATCATCGTCATCGTCATCATGATGATGAGGATGCTGACATCAGCTCGAGCGGCTGAAGTCAATGAGCAAAGGAGGGTTTTCAGGGGCAAAAACGATTTGTTCTGCCCGAACCCTTCTTCATCTCAGCTCGTCATAAAAAATAAAGGATTTGTAATTTGAATGTTAAATAGCAGCAGCCGCAACTCTCATTCCCTCCCCATGCTGAATTAATTCTTACTCTTTTCTTGAAAAAATTAAAAGCAAAAGGACTTGCCCCGTTTGCTTAGGGTTTCCTTTCATTTCCATTCAATTCGATTCGCCGCGCCGCCTTTCAAGTCCCCGAGAAAAATCTATAAAAAAAATCTATTAAGAAAACCGATTTTTTTTGTATTCTTCTGATTTCTTCTCCAAAGTTTCGCTGGCTGCCTAATGGCAATTGACAGGCGCAGTCATATGTAAATCTCAGGGCGTGGCGGTATCGCCGTTCAACCAGCTGCCGTTGGTCTCCGATTTCAAAATCAGTTGGATGGCCAAGGAGGAGATTAAATAGGGCGAAGGCCAAACATGTTTTTCACGGTTTTCTAACGGTTTTTGTCAAGGGAAAATATGGGAATAATATTATGGAAATTCGGGTGAAATGGGTAAATAAATAACCCAAAATAAATTGTACCCGAAAATGTCAACATAGGATTTACCAAAAATACATTTAAATTAGAAAGAATCGTTCATGGGAAAATAAATTCTAAAATTTTAATTATTATATATCTTGAAGCCTAAATTTGAGAACTCATTTCTAGTAGTGTTTGAAACAATGTAATAAAATCTTAAAATGTTCCATCTTTCATTTGAAGTATCTAATAGCTTTAAAAGCTTAGAGTTCTTATCACCAATTAAAGTTTTAATCCTTGTTATTGAAATAAAATGAAAATATTTTAAAATGGATCCCCAACATAAGTGTCTCAAAGCAACCTGTCAACAAAATTCAATTTGAAACTCACCAAATCAAGCTATAATCCTTTGGCAGGATTTATTGCAACTTTTCTATTTGCCTTCCTTGAATTGAATGGACAGCCAGGCAGCCCCGCCTCGAATCGAAACGTTGATTGCATTTTGAAAGGGGGTTAAACTGCTGAATTGCAGCAATAATATTGCAACCGACATCGATATGTGCCATTTGATTTGCATAATTCAGCACACAAACAGAAAGGAAGACCCAACCCTAATGCGAAAAAATGAACTAGCAAAATATTGACAGGACCTGGGGATTGTGAAAGGAAAGGGGCTATAGAGCCGCTTAAGCTGCAAAAGCAGCCGCGCCCCTTTCGACTGTCTGTCTGTCTGTTTGTGTTTTTGCAAATTCATCGATAATTGGCAATTTGAAATGGCAACAACACGAAGGACAGGGGTTGCTTTCGCCTTTCGACACATGAGAGCATATTGACTTTGGCACTCTCGATGAGAACCCCGTTTTCGGGACCCTAAGACCCGGGCCTCGTGTCAAGGGCGCATTGCAAAAATTGCCAAAATAAAAAAAAGGAACGAAATAACAATAACAGGGAAACAAGACTTCGCACAATAGATAATGACTTAATGACACTTTAATTGTAAACAAGTTAATTCGGGCCATTGATGGCCAGTCACAACCAATTATCGCATCGATTCGAGCCAAAAACGGTGGCGGCAATTAGTGTCAGATATTAAAATTGGCAAAACAAAGCCGAATTATAATTATCGTCGCAATGGAAACCAGATTCGGTGCTCATAAATTCAAGACGAACTCCTCTTTGCGAGATGAGATGTGAAATTAATGGGCCATGTCTGTCTGGCAAATGTTTTCGATTCGTTTAAACAATTTTCAAGTTGCTGGAGCTTGATAAAAATATTTCGTTCGTTGTTTGATAGATGTGTCCATTCACACCAGATATATCTCGTTTGGAGGGTAGAAGTTACAAGTTTACAACCAGTGTATTCAGAAATTCCTAACAAACGTCTTCTTCTCCCCTTCTTCTATTTACAGGGCGAAATCACAACGACTTCTGGGGCCCCCAAAAGGTAAGAAAACAGCCAGCCAGCGGAGAAACTTGGCCAAAAAAGGCCAGGCAGAAACTTACGAAACAAAACAAACGTATTGCAACTTTTACTTTGGATCTGAGGGCTCAGTCTTTTGGGCCCCCGAGGTCGGTTCGCTTTCAAGTTTCGTTTTTTGACAGCTGCTGTCAAATGCTGAAAGGCAGCCCCAGCTCCCATTCGAGCAGAAATCTAAAACAAGTCACACACGAAAAGAGTCGGAGTTTTGAGTTAGGAGTAGGAGTCTCCGAGTCTCTGAGTCTCCGAGTCTCGGAGTTGAATCAGAACCAGGCTGCAGTCTCGGTCTTCGAGTCTCTGGGCCCGGGGCATATCGCCAAAACATCTCTATACCAACACACATATGGGCATGGACAGCAGGGCCTAAAGAAATAGGAGCTTAGAAAAGTATTAGTATTTATGGACCTATGTCTTTCTTTTTTAAATTTATTGGGAACTAAAATGTTAAACAACCTATTGCCAGCCTTGATGGCAAGATAATTCAATTTGGATGAAAATAAAAAAATTATTGTTTTAAGTTTCAAATTATTAACGAAATAATTAAAAAATAAAGTGTAATAATAATAAAAGCGGATAAAAAAACCTCCATGGAACCTATAAAAACAAATGTCAGTAGGTTTAATTATTCGGTAGAATAACTTTTATTAACGCCACTCCTACAAATATTTAATAATTTCACATATTAATATTATGGCATTGCATCGTGTTCAGAACCTATTAAAAAAACCAGTAGTTCTAGTAAGTCTGTAGAATGACTTTTATTTATGGCAGCCCTAAAAATGTTGAATAAACTTAAGTTAAGTTTGGTGTAACTACTGTTTTAGCCCCCGCTGTAAGCACACCTTGTGGCCCGGCTATATTCCTTAACCTTCTCTAAGCAAGTTCTCAAAACACAAAGAGAGAGGCAGAGAAAAAACAATGAAAACATTTTTATAGTTTTCATGCACGAAGTCCACGAAATGAAAAATTCTACAATTTAAACTGACATTTAAATTGATAGTTCAAGAGATGCACACGACAGATACGAAACAGGGAGAGCAGCCGAGGCCCCGCACATACATACCCTCGGATACGAACGAGTCCATCCATAAGTATCTGTATCTACGTCTATGTACTCTGTACTCTGCACATGATGGGAATGCATATGCCAGAGCTGCTGATGATGTGGAGCCAACTGATGCTGATAACAAAAGGCGCTGAAAAAAGAAACCCAACTGCCAAGCCAAGAATTCTGAAAATATTATTATTATGATTAACCGCATACGAAGTGCGGTTGGACTACCAGCAGATGATGGGAAACTTTTTGAGTGTCAGAACGGGGTCAAGTCAAAGCCAGGAATCTAAAACATAAAACCACAATGAATAGCTTTATTTGAAATTAAATTAGAAAATCAGTTATACCAACTGCGATAAAAGTGAGGAAGTGCTAAGCAATCTTTGACTTAAAACCACAATGATTTTAGGAAAAGAGCAGGAATTCTTGATGTAAAATTAAGAATTCTTAGGCATTGGCTAAATAAATTGTAAAACTTATTTTTTCAACAATTTTTATCAACACTGAAACAGTGTACAAAAATCAATAGCAATGGTACTTGGAATTTCAACAACACTAGGCACAATATTAAAAATGAAATTTATTTACATACAATTTCAACAACATTACAACACATATGGGTATAAAACATTAACATCCAGTACAATTAAACGTTAAATAACTTACAAAGCAAGTAAAGGTACAAAAGTTGGAAAATAATTAACGATTTTAATTACACAAAACACAAAATTACATTTCTTACACCAACGATTTCAACAACAGTACAACAATTCCGTTTCTAAGACCCCAAGATCTATTAACATCCAGACACACGAAAAACACAAAACTAAGACAACTTCTAGAAAACGTACAACTAAAACAAGAAAACCTACACCGCGAACAACCTTCGGCAACAATCACCGCCAGAATCCTCCAGCGACATTGTCAAGTGTCATGTGCGTGTTCGCTATCACCCAAGTGCCGCAGATGGAGATACAAAGATACAGAGATAGGCAGGCGGCCAGATACACACCATGCCAGCGGCCAAAAGACGGGGAATAAGTATGGTGCACATATATGTAAATAATATATGCCATGCGAGAGTGGAGCATAGATTGGGCTACGGCGCTAATCTTATAATTAGCATTCCTGGCAGATAACAACAACAAGAACAGAGTCAGTGACAGGCAGGCGACTGCTGACTGCCGACTGCTGACTTGGACTACAAAATAACAAATAACAAACAAGTTGCAATTACCAAGCGGCAGTGGAAGCGGCAGCGGCAGCACTCGACTGTTAATCGGGTTGCATGATAACTGCACATTAATTAAAAAAATAAAGAAAGAGGCGAACGAACGTGGGGGAAATTACAGATCCCAGCTAATACATTTATGAAACGAAACGAAACCGAAAGAGTGCTAATTGAATTATTGCAACAAAGAGTTCGCTTCGTTTGTTGCCATTTTTGGTTGCACATTTAATTGCGCCACTCCACCGTCACCGTCACTCCACCGATCCCCGAATCTCCATCTACCTCCCCCCCCCCCCCCCCCCCAAGAAAACCCCTTTCGAGCATATTGCTTACAGTTCCAGGAAGACCCACAAATGCCCAGACAAAGCCAGACTCCGTTCTAACGGTAAGCAGCTATATAACAAAACCCAAAATAACCCGAAAAAATATATAGGGAGATGGGGCCACAAGCACTTAGAAAAATTGTTATAATAAGTATTATTGAAAAAATATTTTCTATAGTCAAAGATATTAATCGGACATCTTTGGGCTAGGAAGGAAAAAGTAACTGAAGAAAGTGCCTCTATAGAACAAAATTGTTTCCTATGACTTCTATAATGCTATTAAAGCTAGCTTCCTAACTGTCGATTGACTATGTTGTAGGTTCAAGTCCCAACATACATTAAATTTTTTTATTTTTTTTTTAATGTTGTGCGTTTTTTGATGTTTTACACATGTATATAAATTGAAAAACCCTTAGATCATTTTATCTTTACCGTCTTAATATATAAACCTGTTTATATCTAAAAAGTGTTCCAAAATAATAAATATTTTTCTATTTTTCTCAGTGCACAGACCGACCCAAGTTCAATTTCTTCTCGTTTTTTGGGCAATTCATAAACCGAAAATAAAACACAGCAGAAAGCGAAAAACTGTCAAGCTCAGTTTTCAATTGCTTCTGGCCCTGTAATCCGAGAGCATGTCCCAGACGCTTTGGATGAGGGATCGGTGGGGATATTAGGCCATGCTGCGGGCTTAGTCACTTCTGGGTAATGTCCTCCAGCCCGGCCAGGCCCATATTAGTTTTCAAGAGTCCCCGGTCGCATTGTTGTGCTCTTGTGTTGATATGACGAGCAGAAAACAGCACAGCACACAACCCGAAAGATACAAAGCATACACACAACGCTCGAGTACGAGTATCTGCAAGTGCATGCAACTCTGTAGCCTGTAGTTGTTCTGGTTCTGTATTCCCGGTATCTGTGTATCCGTATCTGCAGCCCATGCAATGTCTAGGGCCAAAAGGCGGTTCGGACATTTCAACAGCATGTCGCTTCATTTAAGTTTTTTGCATCAATGCACTCGTGACAATTTGTCATAAAAAAAGGAGAGCCGAATGCCCAACCAGAAAAGGCCAACTGGCCAGAGAAGAGATGGGTTGGGTGGAATTGTGAGATGGTTCCTTGGAAGCTACCCATCTGTTGGCGGAACTCCCAATATAATTCAATAAAAGCGAAACCCCAACCAGGGGAATGTTGTAAAAATTCTTTGAGATATTATTATGATTTCTCAAGCGAAGTATAAAATATATGCTCCTCTTTAATTCAAATTCATCGCATTTGCATTATAATGAACGTGTTGATGTCTTTAAATTAGGTTCTATTGTTTGAAAAAAACACAAAAAATCAAAGTCTAGGTGAAGTTCTATCTTTTAATAACCGAAATACCCATAAAAATCTATGGCACTCCCCAAAAAAGTTTATAACCCTCATTAGTGCCAATCAGTGTTGCCATCTGGCACCTGAAATCCTGTATCGTATGATACACATATTTTGCCCCCATTAAACAACCCAATAAAAAGCTAATTGCATGAATATAAAACCCATCTTTGGGTAAATCATCTGGACCATATAGGGGGTCAACAGCACCCCATGCTGAGAAAATAACCATATGGAGGCGGGGCGGCTAAATGTCAGATTTGTGATCATTTAAACGCCAACTTATGCATATTTATATAATTCATTTTTAAATATTTAAAGCCACACAAAAGCATGGCGCACTCAAAACATATATTAAATATCCAGATTTTACGATGCATAATGCGCGGAGGGTAGAGAAGGTGGATTTTTATTACCAATAATTTTTAAATTTGTTGCCTTTCTGCTTCTGCTTGTGCTTTATTTTTATTTTTGTGCTTTTTTTTGGTTTATTTTTTTTTTATTTTTTTGCTTCTGCTTTGTTGGACGGGTGCAAGCAACTTGTTATAAATATAAACACAGATACTTATGAAGGCCCATATAGACGTGCATACTCATATCCATCGGTATATATAGACGGACGTGTGTGCAAGTGAATTGATTGTAAAGCTGCCCGACCGACCGAGCGACGCGATTATTTACGGTTTATTTTCAACACTTCAAAAATAAACGCAGGCGGTACGTGGAAGGGAAAGTTTGGGGGGCGGTGGGTGGGTGAAAGGGGGAAAGCGCAACATGAACTTCTGTACCGCTCCCGCTTCCCGTACCTTCTCTCTTTCTCCTTCTCGCTCAGGCCCTCATTTGAAACAAAAATATTGCATACTAATTTTAATACGTAACACGCGGACGACTTTGAAGGCGGCCAAAAATATCAGCACGAGTGCACTGAGAAAAATTAACTGTTGATTGAAAAAGTATTAAAAATTATATGTCATTAACTAAATATAAC